TTCCTTCATCTCTTGCGTTTATGGTTAAATAAAGAAGTGGGCTTTGCTCTGCTACACTTTTGTACCTGAATAAGCATAATCAAATGTTTGTGAGGCATGTACCAAACACTGATTTGTTGATTTTGCTAAAATCAGTCAATCTTGTACTCATTAGATTAAAAGTTAGTGATGGAGTATGGATGGATTGATTCATGTGATAATCATGACACTCTCTTGCTTGTTCCAAGCCAGGAGAAAATGAAAATGGTTGAATTGAGCCTGTTGCTAGCTGACTGAAAAGTAATAATAATAGCATTTTGTACTTGAAAAGTACCTGCTGTTCCAACCATTATTCTAAACTTTGAGGCAGGATCGTTATGGTAGTGGGCAGAACTGGGGGACTAAAAACGGGGAGTGTTTGGGAGCAGAATATATGGTACTTTTAGTGATAAGAGACAAATATTACAGAACTACCACCTCATGTTCCCTTGCAGGAAATGACATCTAGGGAACATGGGGTTTCTACTTATCTCTGACTGCTGCTTCAGTTTGAGAGAGAGCCCTAGTTTGAAACAATCCTTTCCAGCTAATGGAAGGATAGCAAGCCCTTGTTTTTCTCTAAAATGCCAACTCTACTGCTGATTACCCCCTGCCTCCTCTCAAAGGTTGGGTTTGGTTTTGGTCCTTGGGAAGGGAAGGTAGACAAATGAATCCTGCTTTAAGCAAGGCCCAAATTTGAAGAGGTCAGCTCCTAGACTTCTCAGACTGGAGGCTTTCATACTTTGAAGTCCTGGAATGCTGAATTTGCTCCCATCACTAATGCTGCTTATTGCTTTGGAAGCCAAAAGCTGCTGGGACAAAGAGACTCTTCATGTACAAATCCTCATGTCCCCCAGTTCCTCATGGGAGTCTCTGCCCAAATTCACTTTCCAAGAGGTAAGGCTGTATAGTAAAGGTAAAGGGACCCTGACTATTCGGTCCAGTCGTGATTGACTCTGGGGTTGCGGCGCTCATCTCGCTTTACAGGCCGAGGGAGCCAGCGTACAGCTTCTGGGTCATGTGGCCAGCATGACTAATCCGCTTCTGGCAAACCAGAGCAGCGCATGGAAACACCGTTTAGTACTTACTAACACTGTGTAGTATTTACATTAAAATCTTTTCTGTAGCTTTACCATAGCTGAAAAACATTTCACCCAGAGAGGCCCTGCCAATTTGCTTCACTAGTCACTAAAACACAGCTTTCAGTATTTTTTTTTTCTTTTTTAAGTAGGCAAAGCTTTTAAGAAGGTGGTGATGTGATGTGTTTTAAAACAACTAATGAAAAGGAGTAATAAAAATGAAACATCAGGAAAGGATGAGTGGGAAGTCAAGAAGTTATGTATGTATGCAAAAAAACGCAACCCCCCCCAACTATATATGATGATAAGAAAGTGCTGATGTGCACATGAGATATGTAAACCTGTCCCACCACCTGATATTTTTGAGGCATACACAACTGTTCACTGAAAGTGTGTGTGTGTGCGTGCGTGCGTGCGCGCATGTGCATAATCTTGCCTTTAAAGCTATGGCTTTAAAATGTGGTTGATAATTTAAATCATCATCACCTCTCACTCCTGCTATTCTGCAAATTAGGAAGTGGCAAAGTCAACTTGGACAGTGGGATAATCTCCCCCATTCTGCACAACCACAACCAACAACAACTTGCTTCTGCCTAATTTTAAAATGTCATGAACAAAGCATTGAGGAACACCCCTAATCGTTCATTAGCCCCATGCTACACACAAGCAGACAGTACAAGTGCACTGATTTTCACCACACATCATCCATATTGAGGGTGCAAGTCTGAACTAGGGAGTCTCTACACCAACAGATTTTCTATAGGCACAGGAGACTCCCCACTTAGACCTTCACCCTCCACGGGTTGGGAGAAGGTATTTAGCATGCTCATCCTTGCAGTCCTTGTTTGTTTGTAGATTTTGCATGCAAACAGAAAAACTATGCTTGTGTGTGCATCGCAATGAATGTTCTTCAAACTGTAGGATGGCATGGAATGGCCTGTAATGGGGAGAAATTTGAAGCAGACTCCATGACGTAAATGCTTTATCTATGCTGACTCTTTTGGCATATATTTATTTTTTTAAAAAAAAAAAAGGAGAAAAAAGAGAAAGCTGAAATTTGACAAGGTCAAGGTAAAATTATGAATCAGAGGCAAGAACTGAACATTCCCCATGCTCCCGCCCAACCTGTCTGCTAATGCAGACACTTCAAAAACTGTTTTTATTTTTTTTATTTTTTTGGTCTGGTTATGGAAGGTAATTGACCAAACTTTTTAAGGTGATTTTGATAGCACTCTGTCATGTGCAGCACAGCATTTTGCCTTGATGTCGACTAAGGCACCTTTTCCATAATAAAAACATCAAATATCAATTCTTCCATATTGTGCATGACTGAGTACAGCAACAGCTCAAATCTACACAAGCAATTTGACATAACAGAAATAGGCAAGTGCTGAAACAGTTTTTGAACTCATCTTATTTTGGTTATCCCTTTGCTGGGGAAAAAATGTTTTCATTTTATTGGGAAGCTGTTGATGTGTGAAAATGGAATGGGGTATGAATAGGGTATTAAAAAAAGCAAATATAGTTTACTAACGTCTCTGTCCATTGCATGGACAATACATATTATTCTGTTTGTTTTCCTAGTTAAAACTACCTGTCCGTTTTCAAAACTAGCTTATTGGTGGGGGCTTTTGTTGTTGCTAATTTGTTTATTCACTCTAAAATTTCTGCTCCTTCTACAAGCAGGGCTTGATAGTAGCATACACATATAGGAACAAATAAATAAAATCTACAGCAAATCAGTGTAAACAGGAACATTTAAAGACACAGAAAATAAACTAGAACCAACATATAAATTGAAAGTGCCTTATACAAAATCAGAGCAGTAAGTAATCAATCATTGAGTTCAATATTATCCTACACTGAATGGCAGTATTTCAAACAGGGATATTTCTCAGTCGTACCTAGAAATGCAGGGATTCAACCAGCGGCTTTCTGTGTACTAAATATGTGATCTGTCGCTAAGCTACCACTTGTGTTTACACAATCAGCAAAAATATATACCTTTTGTACTGTTCAAAACAATTTCAGCATACATCAGTTTGCTTGTTTATTTAAAAAGCTTTTCTAAACAGACAGTTTCCCTCAGTTCCTAGATAAGCTATTCTCCAAGGAGGCTACCTCCACTGATAAGTCCCTGCTGCTACTACTATCTATCTGCCTGAAATCAGATTACAACCTTTGCCTTACATTTCATACAAATGGGAAATGCTGCCTGAGTCACTGGAACAGAAAAGCTGCAGAATATAGGCAGCAATAATAGTATTCTTACCTTTTGTCTAATGACTACAAAACTTTTTAATGACGTTGTTGGAGAAAGCCCCATTCCGTATCATCTTCCATTATTTTCTCAGGGTACCAAAGAAATAAGTAGCAGAAAATTACACACACACACACACACACACACACACACACACATACAGTGGTACCTCTGAAGAAGAATTGATGCTTTTGAATTATGGTGCTGGAGGAGACTCTTGAGAGTCCCGTGGACTGCAAGAAGATTAAACCTATCCATTCTGAAGGAAATCAGCTCTGAGTGCTCACTGGAAGGAAAGATCATGAAGCTGAGGCTCCAACCCTTTGGCCACCTCATGAGAAGAGAAGACTCCCTGGAAAAGACCCTGATGTTGGGAAAGATGGAAGGCACAAGGAGAAGGGGACAACAAAGGATGAGATCGTTGGATAGTGTTCTCGAAGCTACCAGCATGAGTCTGACCAAACTGCGGGAGGCAGTGGAAGACAGAAGTGCCTGGCGTGCTCTGGTCCATGGGGTCACGAAGAGTCGGACACGACTAAACAACAACAACAACAACAACACCTCTGAACTTAAACGGCTCTGTTCTCAAATGTTTCGGCTCCTGAATGCCGAAAACCCAGAAATAAGTGCTCCGGTTTTCGAACGTTTTGGAAGTCGAATGGTCATCCGGAATGGATTACATTCGAGTTCTGAGGTACCACGGTACACACACACACACACACACACACTGATGGGATGGACATCATATGATCTTTCTCAACCATTCAAGTGTAGAAAGATGGAAACCTCCCAAGCTCTCAAATGCTACAGCTCCCATTATCCCTGACCATTGGGCAAGCTTAGCTGGGCCTGATTGAAGTTGGAGTCCGATAACACCTAGAGGGCCACAGGCTTCCCAGCGCATGTGTATAAATTATAAATATAAATGATGAACATCCCTATAAAATGTGCACTTCCCTATAACTTTTCTACTGGGAGAGGGCAAAATGTTTATAGCAAGGCGCAAATGCTTCTTTTGGTTATGTTCAAGATGAAATGCCAAAGAAGGAACATACATTTAAGAGCATTTGCTGTAGTTGACCTTTACATGATATGATCAACAGGGATAGAATGCTCGTGGGGAATCTTAATCCCGGCTCATTCTTACAACCACTACCAGCTGGTTCAGCCCCAGCTAAACACAACCCTAATGGCCAGACATTGCATTTCATGCGATTGAGTCACCGTTTCGTTATAAGGGGATGCATCTTCCTACCAAGACTATGTGCATAAGCTTGACCCGTGACTGACTGGTAACATGATAGTGCTAAATCTAGGTTAATGGCACCCTGCTCTTAGGTTTGTGTGCATTCATATGCCTAATTGACTCTATCAACAAGAGGCTAGGATGTAATGTAGATGCCATCTGGTCCTAATTTCTGCTTTCTATCATTATTGTCAAGGTGACAACCCTTTTCTAACCTAGCACAGACTTTTTATCTTATTTTGCATCTAGCACAGATATGCGGTCCTTATCATATGTGTATGTGTGTTTATAACTATCTTTCTCTATATATTTATCCTAACTTTTGAACCTCATTTCCCACTATAACCCACTTTGCCCTCCAATTCTGCTCTGCCACAAAACAACTTTAAAATCTTACCATGGCCTTGTGTTTCTTTCTTCATGGTTGTTTTCAGAGGAAATCTCTCTAGAGGCACTGCAGTGAGAAAATTGGAATATGCAGAAAAAGAATACCTCAAATGACCATGGATTTCCTTTAAGAAGAAAGTGAATTCTATGTCAATGTTATCATATCTCAGCTCAAGCTAGGAACTTTTGGAACTGCATATGGGTGCTCCATGTGGTGAACTACAGAACTGCAGTGTTATGTACTGAGTTGAATAGGTTCCAAAATGCAGAAGTCTGATTGGTCCCAGAACAATAGGATCCAGAATGCAGCAGTCTGATTGGTCCACAGGAGCCACCAAATCCAACTCCAGGTGGAAGGGAATCTGCAACCTGATTGGCCTACAGGAGAATCCCGGAATTAGCCAATCACGTGGGGCCCATTGTGTAAATAATGTATATAAGCAGACATTTCGGGGGAACTGGCATTCCTCACTACTATAAGCTGAATAAAGAGCATGAAATCCACACTCGACTCCGAGTATATTTCATGCAGTTTAGAGCATTTATCTAGGACAGCTTTTGCAGCTTGGTTCTCTCAAGATGTTATTGGACTACAACTCCCATCAGCCCCAGCAAGCATAGCCAATGGTCTGGGATTGTGAGAGTTGTATTCTGGAGGGGACCAGTTTGGGACAGACTGGTCTCAAACTACCCCTACCAGTGCAAACTTGAGAGCCGGACATTCCTGGGCAGGCCAGAAAGAAAGGCTTCCTTTGTGAGCAACAAGGTCTTCCTGGCTCTGCTGAAATACTCAGCTCTGACTTACCCGTGACTCTGATTCCAGTCAGCGGCCAGGTGCTCACTGGAGCAAGACGGTTTGAGCATATTACACCAATCCTGGTCCAACTGCACTGGCTACAATTAGTTTCCAGGCCCAATTCAAAGTGCTGGTTAAAGCCTTAAATGGCTCAGGACCATAATACCTCAAGGACTGCCTCTTCCCATATGAACCTACCTGGACCCTGAGATCATCTTCTGAGGCCCATTGTGTGCCTCTGCAAGAGGTCAGGAGGGTGGCAACATGAGAATGGGCCTTCCTGGCAGTAGCTCCTCATCTGTGGAATGCTCTCCCCAGGGAAGTTTGCCTGGCACCTTCACTATACACCTTTAGGCACCAGGCAAAAATGTTCCTTTTCAACCAGGCCTTGCCTGACTTGATCTACATCTTATACCCTTTTAAAAAATGCTGGTTCTTTTGGGGGGGGGGTGTTATTGAGTTGTTGGTTTTGTTTTGATTTTATGTATTTGATATCTCATGTGAACCACCCTGAAAACTTCGGGTATAGGGCGATGTAGAAATTAAATACAGTGGTACCTCGCAAGACGAATGCCTCGCAAGACGGAAAACTCGCAAAACGAAAGGGTTTTTGGTTTTTTGAGTTGCTTCGCAAGACGATTTTCCCTATGGGCTAGCTTCGCAAGACGGAAACGTCTTGCAAGTTTGTTTCCTTTTTCTTAAAACCGTTAATACAGTTGCGACTTGACTTCAAGGAGCAACTCATAGCACGCGGTGTGGTAGCCTTTTTTGAGGTTTTTGAGGACTTTGGCGATTTTTGAAGCTTTTCCAAAGCTTTTCTGACACCGTGCTTCACAAGACGAAAAAAAACGCAAGACGAAAAAACTCACGGAACGAATTAATTTCGTCTTGCGAGACACCACTGTAGATCAATCAATCAATCATCATCATCTCTGGGTCTGTCCTTGCAGCATGAGCTTCACACAATACATCTTGTAAATTATAAAATACCTTTAGAGTAAATATTTAAGGTTGCATTATCTGCTGGTCTTTATTAACCTGGCTGTCCCCCATGCATTCCATGTAATATTTGGTCATTAGCAAAGGCTATTGAAGAAAGATTACTGGTAGTAATTGCTCCTTTGTTCCTGGGGGTGATTTGGGCTAGGAATGTATTACTTTTTTTCCCCTTTTTGATTTTTCAAACAAGGAAAAGAAAACTGCTTCATTTGATTGGCATAAGATATTATATATGCTTTCAGTCTTCTCCCTATGTGGATTTTATTAGCAATAGCAACATCTGTGAAATACTTTTACTTCATTGTGCTTTGCTGATCAACATCATCAACACTAGTGGTATATTGAGGCTTTCAGGACTTCATTTAGAGTTTCAAATAACTATAATCTAAAAAGCATTGGCAGAAAAACATTTAAAAGATTTATTTTTCCTGAGTGGAAACACTGCCGATTTTGACAGCAGCTTCTATTGTATGGGGATAAGAAACAATGAATTCACAGCTAAAATGACAAGAGTGGAACTAAAGTGAAGATTATGATGAAGCCAAGTGCAATTTCCTCCCCCCCCCTTCTCATTCTTCTTTTTGCAAATTAGGAGGCTGGAAACAGTGTCACTGTCAGATTGCTAAAGTTTCAGATTAATGACACTTTTTATAGCACACTCAAAATGTGTTATAATAACTGATAGGAAAGGAAGACTCTTCATCTTCTTGATAATAGAATTAATGAAAAGCAGCAAAAGTGTCACTACCAAATACCTTACCTTCTCTTACACACGAAGCTTTTTTATTCTTATTTAATTGGGCCAATAGTAAGTGGGAATGGGAAATGGAATAGGAGCTCCTCCCACTCATATGTTCTTCCATGCAATAAACAGGATATGTTCCAAATCACATTCTTCAGTTCACTTCAGTGGTAGAAGCTTTGTGGGCTTCCCATAAGCATCTAATTGGCCACTGTGATTAAAGGATGCCTTTTTTGAGTAGTACTTTATAGACATTGGGGGCATGGGTGGCACTGTGGTCTAAACCACAGAGCCTAGGGCTGTGAGGAGAATCAGAACTTACAGGGTTAAACAGTTCTGTGTGATGTCTCACATTCTGAGGCGTGGTTATGTTCACATACGGGAATCTTTCTTTGTGTGTGAGTTACTTTCGTTTTTGGCTGAGAGATGAAAGAATGTCCGCTCTCTCGCCAGGACTGATTTATGATGTTTTTCTTCTCATTAAAGACTGTTAGAGATTAGCAAGAAGCCTGCGTACAGTCTGATTTATTATCCACACACAGGGCAAAACTTTCTGCCGCTGCGGATCTCTGCTAAGAGCTGTGAAGAGAGCTCAAGTTTTTCCTATCAGCACAGGCATCCATCAGCGCTGGGGAAGTGTGCCGGACGCCATCATATCTCAGCAAGGGCTTGCCGATCAGAAGGTCGGCAGTTCAAATCCCCGCGATGGGGTGAGCTCCCGTTGTTTAGTCCCTGCTCCTGCCAACCTAGCAGTTCAAAAGCACGTCAAAGTGCAAGTAGATAAATAGCTACCGCTCTGGTGGGAAGGTAAATGGCGTTTCCGTGTGCTGCTCTGGTTCACCAAGCTGCTTAGTCATGCTGACCACATGACCCGGAAACTGTCTGCGGACAAACGTCGGCTCCCTCGGCCAGTAAAGAGAGATGAGCACCGCAACCCCAGAGTCGTCCGCGACTGTACTTCATGGTCAGGGGTCCCTTTACCTTTACCTTATAGTCATGCAAGGGACTACATAAAGTGGTGTTGGAGAATAAGAGTGTAGAGGGTATATATATAAAAAAAACCAAAGGCCTCCTCCACTGCATCAGAAGCCCTTCCACAAATGAAACCATTGTATGTGAATTGCTGCCAAAGTATAAAGAGCAAGAGCAACATTTCCTACCTGTTAGAGAAGCCTTCTCCCCCTCCCCACAAGAAAAGTTGAACTGAAGGCATGCCTCTGCCTAGACGACACCTTTAATCTAGTATCAAACCTGATAAATGTTGATGGTTACCAACCAAGGAAACCTGGCAATTGTCACCATATAAAAAGCACACCTACATTCTCCATGCTTCTTAGGAAAGACATGACTGCCAAACTGGTATCAAACAGGTTTGGTGTGTCAGTGGTGCCCTTACACTTCATGTAATGGAAAGGAACAGCTTGTTTTCATCTGACTGAGTCACACTACATCTCAGATGAACCTAGCCCACGACACACTTGTGCCCAAATAGCTTCCACTCTCATTAATCGACATGGATCACAATCTGCATAGAGGTTTTCATACATGCCCAACTGAAATGTATAGGAGCCATAGCAAATCACTATGTGAAGCCCTGCTTAAGTTTCCAGTTAGCAGAAATCTTCAAAATGCTTAACTTTCACTGGATCGTGTTCACCCACCTTCAATCACTATATACGACTTCTTGCAGTTCACGTGATTTCCTTTGTTAAGTATCTGGTTAATTGCAAAGAGCAGTGAAAGGAAACAGTAGCATTCAGTGGATAGAGGAAGTAAGGAGAAGAATTTGTCAAGTTTTCATAGAACTTTGAGAAAGAGTATCTGTTAATGGGTAGACATCAGCTACAATTGATGGATTGTGTTGTTGTTTAGTCGTTTAGTCATGTCCGACTCTTTGTGACCCCCATGGACCAGAGCACGCCAGGCCCTTCTGTCTTTCACTGCCTCCCGCAGTTTGGTCAAACTCATGTTTGTATCTTCGAGAATACTGCCCAACCATCTCGTCCTTTGCCGTCCCCTTCTCCTTGTGCCCTCAATCTTTCCCTACATAAGGGTCTTTTCCACGGAGTCTTCTCTTCTCATGAGGTGGCCAAAGTACTAGAGCCTCAGCTTCACAATCTGTCCTTCCCGTGAGCACTCAGGGTGGATTTCCTTAAGAATGGATAGGTTTGATCTTCTTGCAGTCCATGGGACTCTCAAGAGTCTCCTCTAGCACCATAATTCAAAAGCATCAATTCTTCAGCAATCAGCCTTCTTTATGATCCAGCTCTCACTTCCATACATCACTACTGGGAAAACCATGGCTTTAACTATACGGACCTTTGTTGGCAAGGTGATGTCTCTGCTTTTTAAGATGCTGTCTAGGTTTGTAATTGATGAATATGTAGAGCTAATATATTCCAATGGTTAAGTTGAATTATACAATGGAGAGGAAGAACAATGAAAAAGGAACATCTAGCACATCTAGACCTTAAACATGCTAATTAAATTTAAAGAAGGGGTAATCACTTCTTTAAACCTGCAGAATTTTATTTCTTTAACATTCTATCCATTTTACGTTCAGCCAGCTTTTACAAATAAGCCATGTAAAGTAATTTGCTGTGGTACCACAGTCAGATCTCATTCATGGGCAAAGACCTGAGCAATAATAAGCAGATGGTGTTTCATACAAATGGTGCATGGTGTTGTTAAAAATGCAACACCGGTGGTATTTAACTCCATGGAAATTAGCCAGAATGTACAAAGGAGCCAAAAGTAATTGTTGGAGATGTGGGGACCAAACAGGCTCACTGTACCATATATGGTGGCAATGTAGCAAAATAAAGAAGTTTTGGGAGGAAATCCACTTTGAACTAGAAAAAATGTTAAGAATCTCATTTATTAGGAAACCAGAGGCATATCTGTTGGGCATTACTGATTCAGGTATTCCTAAAAAAATTAAAGATTTTTTTTTTTTGTATGCAGCAGTGGCAGCAAGAATTCTTATAGCTACAAGGTGGAAGAGTGACATAATTCCTTCTAGACAAGAGTGGATACAAAAATTGACTGAATATGCTGAATTAGATAGTCAGTTTTTATTAATTGCTTATGTAAATAAAAACATTTATAAATTGTGAAAATATTAATATAAAAATAGTATTTTGATATGGCAGTAAATTTATGTAAAAAGAATTAAAGAATAAATGGGATGTCGGGTATAAAAGATAATGATATTTTTATTTTTATTGTAACATGAAATTGCGATCACAGATTTATGTCATAATTTTTATCTTATTAACAGATTGTGTAAATTTTATTTTCTTTCCTTTTTCTTCCCCTCTTAAGCTGTACCCCTTTTCGTTGTTGTTGTTGTTGTTGTTGTTGTATGTAATAAGCATGGAAATAAGCATGAAAATAAAAATAAAAAATGGTACATGGTGGAATATCAACAGGTCTATGTGGTGCCTATTGTACCTATAAATGTAAAATACACACATTTATTCAACAGCAGATTTTATGGGTGCTGTGAAATGGTGTATTTTATTGTGCTCTGACCAGAGTTTCTGAATAAAACAAATATATTTGATACCCGACTAGTCTTAAACTAGTGTGTGGATATGTGTTTCAAACTGCATATAGTAGTAGCAGCAATGGGAATCCCCCCAAATTTTTGTGTGTGAATGTTGATAGTCGCAGATAAATTTTGTAAAAAAATAAAATAAAAATCACAGAAAGCACTGACAAATGCTGACAGTTCCCAACGTGCGTCTGTCAGCATTCACTGGTGTAGTTTGAAAAATGAAGAAATATGTGTCTAGCTTCAGACATCTGCAAAGTTTGCCAGCATTCACATCTGAGAGTCAGCCTTCACCAAATGATGGACTTACTGAAATCTCTTATTTTTTAGTCTTGAATGACAGGTTACCAACTGGATGAGTATTCCTGAAAAATTACATTATATACCTCTGTATCTTTTTAAAAAGAAGAACCAATGTAACTTCCTCCCTTCCTCTAAACCCTACCAAGAATCTGTTCCACAGCAGAACATGCCTATCCTTACATGCAGTTCTGAACATGCAACCAGTGTGGAAAAAAATCTGTGGACTGGGGCCCGAATCAGACATGGATATTAGAACAGAACCGAGGAAAATATATAGTAGGAAATAGCCATGTCTCCCTTGGCTCCTTTGGGCTCAGACCTGGGATGGCAGACTTTGAAGGAAGACAAGAAGGAATGTGGCAGAGAATCTAGAACAAATGGGAGCTCTTGCCTCCCTCAGAATAGATCTGGGATCTGGAATCCCAGTTGCCTCCCCTCCTTTGTGGGAGAAAGAGGTTTCAGAGGAGAAGATGTGTCCCACCCAGTGTTCACAACTCCCATTGTTCTAGGAGCATTTTGCAGCAGGGAATTTCATAAACACGAGCAGTTTCTGAGCTCTGGGCGCAGTACTGAGCCTAAGATTTCAGATTAAAACTGCAGAGTGGAAGGAAAGGGGGACCTTTTTCCACCTGTCCACTTCCAGTTGCTCTCTGAAGACTGGAGAAAAGACCCTCTTAAGAATATTAGAGGGGTGGGCAGGGGAAGGACCAGACCATGTGAAAGATGAGCATAATATTTTAGCTGCAGTACATTCATTTTCAGCACACTGTTCTTGTTATAAAAAAGTATGCCTAGACATTCTGTTGTTGTGCCCATAACCTAGGTTTAAGGTGCCATTTAGCTCCTAGCTTTCATATCGCAGTTTCTAACACTGGTCCCACCCGGGAAAAGGCATATACATTCTTGCAGTAATAGAGATTCTTAAGAGAAAGGATAAGACCTGCCTTGGCTTTAAAGCTTGGCGGGTGATTAAAAATCAGGTTTTCCCAGGGGAAGGCAGTGGGACAAGTGCAAGTCAGACTAGAGGCCTATTTAGTGTGGCATTGAATATGCTGTTAGGCAGGAGTCTTCCATACTACAGATTAAGCTAAAGCAGAGAGAATCCAATTTAACAAGTGGTTGAACAAATTTAACCTCTTTTTTCCCCTCCTTTCAAATAATCTAAAAGCTTCTAATTAATAGATCTCTTTTAAATGTCAACCATATCAAAAATGATGTTAGTTATTTAGTATTGTTATAGTATAGTATTGTTTTAATTTTTC